CTCTCCTTGCGAAAGTCCCGCGAGCAGCACAACTGCATTTATCCATCCACATCCTTACCCCGCTCAGTGGGAACAAATCACCGCTCCTTCCCCACTGGTCAACTCCGCCCCGCATCCTTATCTTCCTTCTTCGATCTCATCGAAAAGACGGAATTTTGCTTCCTCCAGGCATTCCATTATATGCCTTCCTTGATCTCATCGAAAAAGACGAATTTTTGCTTCCTCGAGTCATTCCATTATCTGCCTACTTTGATCTCGTCGAAAAGACGGATTTTTGCTTCCTTGAGGCATTCCATCGAACGGACAGCGGGCAACGAAGAAGTAAACGATGACGTCGTCAGCTTCCTCGCAGGATTTCTTCATCGGAGCGATTGATCAAGGGACGACGAGCAGTCGATTTATCATCTACGATAGAGACGCAAAAGCCATCGCTTCGCATCAAGTGGAGTTCACCCAGTATTACCCTGATATCGGGTAATGTTCTTCGCTTGATTTTAGTATATTTTTTATATTGTCGTGCCGCCTCTTTTTAACTGTTGTGGGGACTGATTAGATGGCTGGAACATGATCCGAAGGAGATATTGGAGAGTGTGAGGATTTGTACTGCGAAGGCTCTGGACAAGGCTACCGCCGACGGATACAATGTTGATGGTGGACTCAAGGCTATTGGTATATCGAACCAGAGGGAGACTGCTGTTATCTGGAGCAAGTCTACTGGAATGCCTTTGTACAATGCGATCGTTTGGATGGACGTCCGCACTTCCCCTATCTGCAGGTTTTCTTCTCTTTCTGGCTGTTTATGATTTTCTGGACTGATTAATGGGTACTTGATAGTAGATGAGTTAGGTGACCTGAAGCTGTTCGGTTTGCTGATTACAATGTTGTGGTATTGCATCTGTAGTCAGTTTCATCTGCTAGCATCTTTGGATATAAGATGAGCACTACATGATACTAAATCAAACAAGTTCTTAATCTCTTTTGATAGAAGTTCATGTTGTTCCTGTGTTTGCTTTGTTCACGTTTAAAAAAAAACTTAACTTGAACAAAGGTGAGTGAGCTCTGAAAGTTTCTTCTTTTGTACATGCTTTTGAGAAAAAAATTAGCTAAAATGCCATTCCTGTCTTAATTTTTTTTCAAACACGATGAAAAGTGACATCTAGAGGCTCAATTTTGTGAAAAAAATGAAACCTTTGCCTTGAATTCTCCAGGAATTTAGAGAATCGTCTGGCGGGTGGAAAAAAAAGTTTCTTTTCTACATGCTTTTGAGAGAAAATTAGCTATAGTGCCATTCCTGTCTTAATTTTTCTTAAAAACAATGAAAAGTGACACCTAGAGGCTCAATTTTGAGAAAAAAAATGAAATCTTTGCTTTGAATTCTCCAGGAATTTAGAGAATCGTCTGGCGGGTGGAAAAAAAAGTTTCTTTTCTACATGCTTTTGAGAGAAAATTAGCTATAGTGCCATTCCTGTCTTAATTTTTCTTAAAAACAATGAAAAGTGACACCTAGAGGCTCAATTTTGAGAAAAAAAATGAAATCTTTGCTTTGAATTCTCCAGGAATTTAGAGAACCGTTTGGCTGGTGGGAAAAAAGTTTCTTCTTTTCTACATGCTTTTGAGAGAAAATTAGCTAAAATGCCATTCCTGTCTTAATTTTTTTTTAAAGTGGCATCTAGAGGCTCAATGTTTTGCGAAAAAAATGAAACCTTTGCCTTGAATTCTCCAGGAATTGAGAGAACCGTCTGGCGGGTGGAAAAAAAGTTTCTTCTTTTCTACATGCTTTTGAGAGAAAATTAGCTAAAATGTCATTCCTATCTTAATGTTTTTCAAACACAATGAAAAGTGGCATCTAGAGGCTCAATGTTTTGCGAAAAAAATGAAACCTTTGCCTTGAATTCTCCAGGAATTTAGAGAACCGTCTGGCGGGTGGAAAAACCCATTTTGTGGAGACCTGCGGCTTACAAATCAGCACCTACTTCAGTGCTACCAAGATACTATGGTTGATAGAAAATGTGTATGGTGTCAGAGAAGCTATTGAAAGTGGGGATGCTTTGTTTGGTACTATTGACTCTTGGCTGATCTGGAATCTCACCGGTGGTTGTGGTAGTTATGATCGTGAGGAGAATTTTGTGCAAGGAGTACATGTCACTGATTGCTCAAATGCATCTAGAACCATGCTTATGAATCTTAAAACCCTTGATTGGGATAGACCCTCCTTAGATGAATTGGGGATCTCCATTGCCATTCTTCCAAAAATTGTTAGTAATTCAGAAATCCTTGGAGTAATTTCCAATGGATGGCCTCTCTCCGGAGTCCCCATTACCGGATGCCTTGGCGATCAGCATGCAGCGATGTTGGGCCATCGCTGCAAGAAGGGACAGATTAAGAGTACCTATGGAACTGGTGCCTTTATTCTCCTCAACACTGGTGAGGAAATTGTTCAATCAAACCATGGACTACTCACCACAATAGCCTACAAGCTTGGACCAAATGCACCAACTAATTATGCGTTGGAAGGTTCTATTGCCATTGCTGGTGCTGTAGTTCAGTGGCTTAGAGATTCGCTTGGCATCATCCGGAGTGCTGATGAGATTGAAGAGTTGGCTGCGAGTGTGGAAAATACTGGAGGGCTTTACTTTGTTCCGGCGTTTAGTGGTCTGTTTGCACCTTGGTGGAGGGATGATGCAAGAGGTGTGTGCATTGGAATTACAAGGTCTACAAATAAGGGACACATTGCCCGGGCTACATTGGAGGGTATTTGCTTTCAGGTGAAGGATGTGATTGATGCAATGCACAGGGATACTGGCAAGCATAGTGATGAGGAAGTTGAGGAAGATTGCATACTTCGTGTTGATGGTGGCGCGACAGTGAATAATCTTCTGATGCAGATTCAGGTATGTTTGCATTCTCCCTTTTTATTTCTTTAGTTTTGTTTACTTTTATGTCCTTGCTGCCATATGGATGCATTTTGCTGGTTCTGTTGGGCACGTTCGACTTCTTTGATATTATATGTTTTCTTTCATTCTTTGATATTATATAATTTTATGTCTTGCTATTGCATAATTTCATGGTGAGAATAAGTTCTTCATAACCAATATACTAAACCGTGATGGTTGCGAGAAATCAGCTTTCTAATTTTTTGTGAAGGGAAAGTTCTGTGATATCAACAGTAGCCTTTAAAAACTTTACTTTTATCACAGAAGTTTTTCAGTTTTACAGACAACTGCTTTATTCTAAACGAATCC